TCAGTCATTGGTCAGATATTTTTGACCTTTATTTATACAGGTAGTCTCACTGAGCCATGAGGGCCCACCCCCCAAGTGAGACGTGTATTGGGCAGCTCTGTGAGCGCCCGGGTGTGACGAGGCGAAATGCTTTTGAACTTTGAAGGATCTTTTTTGTGTCTCCTTGTGCTCATTTTATGACTTTGTGCTGCTGTTTGACTCCACGTTCAAAGTTTGCATGTGCTTTATTTCACTTTGTTGGTTTTTTCCTGTAGTTTTTTGTCGTGCTCATGTTTGTCATTTAGACTTTATGTTTAATTTGTGTGCTCTTCAGCGCTTGTGGTTCAATAATGGTGGGTGTGTTGCCGGTCATTGATCGCTCTCTTCTGAGAGCCACAGCAAATGTTTGGTTTCTGGCGTGTTTACATTTGTTTTACGATGATTCAAGGTCACACAGAGTATACTTTGACTGTCAACTTTCACCCATTTGCAGAGGAAAAAACTTATCAAGAAGTCAATGTTCAATCAAATCTCATCTGCGTGTCGGTGTGAGCCCATTGGTCCGAACCTCGCCTGATTCAGGCAAAGTTTATGCCGTGTCACAAAAGAAATGGGAAGCCTGGGAGCAAGTCTGGTGTCGTCATGGTTTTATTTATTAACCATGTGTTTCAACAAGACGAGTTCAGACATGCAGAGCAGCTTATATACAGACAGAAACATTTCAGCTGCTGTTAGAATACGTATGCAGTTAAAACAGCTGTGAGCAGAAATATTTTAGTTTTTGTATTTGAGAAGCAGGACTACACAACAGCTTTTTTCTGAACACACAGTGAAATGCACACACGTTTCACTCGAGGAGCTTCATCGAGGTTTTTCACCTCCACTAACAAAGATTTAGATCATTCCCGTGTCTTCTTTCGTTTTTCTTGAATGCAGAAAACACAATGACAAGTAAAATTAATGTTTTCGCAAACATCAGACAAACATTGTAAGACCTAATTAGAAATGACAGGAATGCTGACCTCTTCACCCAACAGTGACATGGCCGCAAGGATGTGATGGTGGTGCGGTTGTGTCAGACAGAGAGAATACTCTGTGCTGGGTCATGTTAATACAACATACTTGTACGTACTTGTAACATGAACAAGAGCTTTGTCTTAACCATTAAATGTATTATTTATTCAGTTCAACACGTTATCAGTTCTAGAAAATAGTTTGAGAACATAATGTAGCATGACGTTAGTCTTTTCATCACCAAATGCAACCCCCACTGGCGTCAGAAGCATTTGCAATGTGTGTGTGTGTGTGTGTGGGGGGGGGGGGACACACACTGGTGGTGGGGTGGGGGGTGCCTGGGGGTCCTCCCTCAGAAAATTTTGAATAGACACCATTTCCTGCATTCTGGTGTATTTTAACAGGTTGTTAAGCATCTACGTTTACCTACAGAAGTAAACACTTGATTCAACAAAATTGCATTCGAGGACTTAAAAAAACCTTTTTGCACCAGAGCCTGCAAGCTGCGACTGCTCACTCCGCCATCTTGAATCACCTCCCCTCTACATAACTATATTGATTTACTATGTGACCAAAATTGTTTTAAGAATGTAAACATACCTTTTGCTGACTTTGTGTGGTTTCCATTGTGAATGGTTTCATGAAGAAAAAAAATCAGTGGAAGAACCTCTCACAGCTTCAAGCTTCTTCCAATCAACATCAGTTATCTGGTTCTACTCGTTAGGACTTTGAGGGTGATTATTATCTGTTTCTACTGGTTAGGCCTTTGCGGGTGATTATATCAGTTTCTACTGGTTAGGCCTTTGAGGGTGATTATTATTCGTTTCTACTGGTTAGGCCTTTGCGGGTGATTATATCAGTTTCTACTGGTTAGGCCTTTGAGGGTGATTATTATCTGTTTCTACTGGTTAGGCCTTTGAGGGTGATTATTATCCGTTTCTACTGGTTAGGCCTTTGCGGGTGATTATATCAGTTTCTACTGGTTAGGCCTTTGAGGGTGATTATTATCCGTTTCTACTGGTTAGGCCTTTGCGGGTGATTATTATCTGGTTCTACTGGTTAGGCCATTGCGGGTGATTATTATCTGGTTCTACTGGTTAGGCCTTTGCGGCTGATTATTATCTGGTTCTACTGGTTAGGCCTTTGCGGGTGATTATTA